CAGAGGGTTCAGACAATTGGGCCAAAGCCTGCACGACATGGGGCAAGGCGATGATGTCCCGTGGGATGGCCGACCGGAGGCACTCCACCGCATCCTGATTAGAAGCAATTTCAGCAGCAGCCTGGACATCTGGATCGAGAGCAGCCTCCTGAGCCTGCCAATCCTGCAAGATAGACTCCAAGCGCTGGCGGCGCGCGAGGAGAACCTCCTTCTTATCAAGGAGGGAGTTGAGCTGCTCCTGCAACTCCGCCAAATGCCCGTCGAGCTTCTCGATCTTAGTAGTATTCCAACGCACATGGCTAGATACCTGCGCCCTACGTTGCTCTGGCGTGAGCATGCCGTATTTCTCCTCCTTCTCCTTAGCGATATCGCGACGGACACGTTCCAGCTCCTCGGAAACCGGTAACCTGGAGGACAAGTTGTGCAGCTGCTGCGCATAACGTGTGCGTGCTTGTAAGAGCAGGTCAACACAATGCACGTCCTTGCGATGCGACGTACCAGATTCATCACTGCCGGCAATACTGGCATCGCCATCCGCATCATCACCACCCACATGCGCGTGACCTTCGCGATCGCCACGTCGTTGGCCATCACGCTGCTCGGGAGGGGGACGATCAAGCTCCCGCCGATCACGCCGGTGACGACCAAACCGATCGCGTTCATGCCGAGCCGACTGCTCAGGGCCAGAAACGCCGGTGGACTTCCGGCGCCCAGGAAAAGGACGATCACAATATTTGCAGCAAGCCCGAGGATTGGACACGTATATCCAACTGCCGGTACAACGGCTGCAAACAAGATAGCGCTCATCAGAATGGCGCCCCATGGGAAGAAGCTGCGGCCTGCGAGTGGCTGAATGGTGCAGCCGAGGGAGCAGGACCGAAAAGGTCAACTGACGACCGAAGCACAAGCCTTGAGCCAAAATGGCTTGAGCCAAAATGGCTACGGAGGAGGAGGAGGAGGAGGAGGAGGAGGAGGAGGAGGAGGAGGACGAGGAGGAGGCGGAGGAGGAGGACGAGCTCGCCCTGAAAAATCATCCCGTCCACCCCCCTGGCCCCCGCGCCCTGGATCGCCCCCCCGTGCCCCCCCCCCCTGGCCTTCCAGGCAACCCGGAATTGTCAGCCCCCCGTCTGCCTGCCCTGCCCCCCCGCTATTGCGGGGGCGAGGAGGCCCGCGAAACAATTGTTTTAATCGTCCGCCCCAGAAAGTTTTTTTGTTGTTTTATCGTTTCCCCCGATTAACCGAAAGTGCATACATCGTGTCTATATCGTGTGTAAGTGTGTTAAACGGCGTGTCTAAACCATTGAACACCGTGTCTAAGTGTTGTACCACTTCGTGTCTAAATATTGTACAACATTCGTTCGAGTCGCTCCGTGTCGTTATGTTCATGTGCGGTGGTGTGGGCGCGCGTGCGTGGGTGTGCGTACTTGCGTGCGTGCGCGGTGCGTGCGTGCGTGCGTGCGTAAGTGCGTGCGTAAGCGCAAGCGTGCCTGCGTGCGTATGTATGCATGCATGCATGCATGCATGTATGTGTGTGTATGTATGTATGTATGTATGTATGTATGTATGTATGTATGTATGTGTGTGTGTATGTATGTATGTATGTATGTATGTATGTGTGTATGTATATATGTATGTGTGTGTCTGTATGTATATATATATATATGTATGTATGCATGTATGTATGTATGTGTGTATGTATGTGTGTGTATGTATGTATGTATGTATGTATGTATGTGCGTATGTATGTATGTATGTATGTATGTATGGATGCATGCATGCATGCATGCATGCATGTATGCATGTATGTATGTATGTATGTATGTATGTGTGTATGTATGTATGTATGTGTGTGTATGTATGTATGTATGTATGTATGTGTGTGTGTGTATGTATGTATGTATGTATGTATGTATGTATGTGTGTATGTGTGTATGTGTGTATGTGTGTATGTATGTATGTTTGTATGTATGTATGCATGCATGCATGCATCCATGCATGCATGCATGCATGCATGCATGTATGTATGTGTATGTTTGTATGTATGTATGTATGTATGTATGTATGTATGTATGTATGTATGTATGTATACTACGCCCCAAGCGCCCAGGCCTCGTACGCTTAGCGTACGCTGTTCTTGGGCAGCTGACCCAATGGGTATCAGCATTCACTGAAGTCATTCTCGGAAGCGCTGCTGGAGCGCCTTCCTTTATCTCAAACTGCCTGTGTGTGTTTGTGTGCGTGTGTGTATATGTGTGTGTGCGCGCGCGCGTGCGTGCGTGCGTGCGTGCGTGCGTGCGTGCGTGAGTGCGTGCGTGCGTGCGTGCGTGTGTGTGTGTGTGTGTGTTTGTGTTTGTGTTTGTGTTTGTGTTTGTGTTTGTGTCTGTGTCTGTGTTTGTGTTTGTGTTTGTGTTTGTGTTTGTGTTTGTGTTTGTGTTTGTGTTTGTGTTTGTGTTTGTGTTTGTGTTTGTGTTTGTGTTTGTGTTTGTGTTTGTGTGTGTGTTTGTGTGTGTGTGTCTGTGTGGTTGCGCGTGTGCGTGTGTGTTCGTGCACGCGTGCGCGCAATCGGCCGATGGAGTCTTGCTTCGCGACTGCGCTGACACATCGCCGTCCGACGGAAAAGGGGTGAGAAGGAGGAGGTAGGAGCAGGGAGGAGGAGGACGAGGAGGAGGACGAGGATCCAGGAGGACCAGGGATCGTGGAGCATCGAAGCGGAGGAGGATCGAGGAGGAAACGATGACCGAGGATCGATGCCGAATATCCAGGAGGATCGCAGATCGAGGGTCGAGGGAAGAAGGATCATCGAGGAAGACGAGGAGCATCGAGGATCGAGGATCGAGCATCGAGGAGAACCGAGGATGATCGAGGAGGAGGTGGGGGAGGACCGAAGAGGAGAAGGACTCCATCATCGATTCGTCATTCCATGATCGAGCATATCGCTATTAGGGTGCTTTGGTGGGTTGATCCCTCTCGTTTCTGCTCCTCCCCATCCCCACCCGTTATCGTCGCCATCGTCATCATCCTGGCCACCCTGCTCTCTCGCCACTCTCTGCCTTTTGCGCCTTCGCAGCTTCTCCCAGGCCTTCTTTTCACTCAACCACTCCCCCCGCCCTCCTCGACGCCCTCCGGCCCTGTTCTTCCCTCCGCCTGCGCGTCCACCTCCGCCTCCTGCCCCTCCTGCTCGTGCCCGTCCGCCCCTCCTCGGTCAGACTCGTGTCGCGTTCCAGTTCCCTGCCGTCTGCCCGCCTGCCTCCTCTGCCTCTTTACCCCCTCGGGGATGTTCTTCCCCCCATCATCATCGCCGTCTTCAGGGCGATTCAGCTCGCTTCGTTCGCACTCGGCATCGACGCACGCATCGGCGCTACAATTTCTGGCGCGCGCGGCCGACAGACATGCCGCTGCAATGGGAGCGTCGTCCTGGCCACCATCACAATCGCAATGTTGCGCCGTGGCTTCCCGGGCCGGGGCCAGGGCTGGAACCGGGACCGGAGCCGGGGCCGGGGGCCGGCCCGGGGTCAGGGCTCGGGCCAAGGCCGGGGCCAGGGCCGAACCGCCCGGGGGGGGAAGCGCATCTGACCAGGGACTTCCCCGGGACTTCCCCGGGACAACCCCACTCCCCGGCGGAAGGGATGAGAGGGAAAGGGCCTCCCTCGACGTCTTTATGGATTTTGGTGGAACCGCGGGATTCGCGGGCTTCCTGGGCCGGGGCCGGTGCTGGAACCGGAGTCGTTTTGTTGACGGTCCTGACGGCGGGCAAGGGCCTCCGCAAGCCGAAAATTCGCCGGCCCAACGGGCCAGAGGCGTGCTAAGATCTCCGGTAACTGGTTAACAATTCTCTAGTTCGCGCGCGCGGGGCGGCCCCTGGGGGTCCCCGGACGAAGAATACCCCGGGCGGGTCCCGGCTGATCCCCGGGCGACTCCACCAGAGCGCTCCATGAGCGCACCAACAGGGCCCCGAGACGTCCCCGAGAGCCCCAAGCAGGGCCAAGAGGCCCCCAAGAGGCCCCCAAGATGGTACACGAGGGGTCCGACATGCCACAAGATCGTTCCAAGACGCCCAAGATAGCCCCCAGACGCTCCAAGAGGCCTTCAAGAGCACTCCCAAGAGGGCCCCAAGAGGCAAAATTCATTGCTTTTCCTCAGGCTTTTGAAACATTTTGGAGCTTCCACCTTTTCGGCTTCCCGACGCCCCAAGACGGCCCAAGAGGCCCCCAAGATCGCCCCAAGAGGGCCCAAGAGGCCCCCAAGAGGGCCCCAAGATGGCCCAAGAGGGCTCGAAGACGGCCCAAGAAGCCTCCAAGACGGTCCAAGAGGGCCCCAAGAACGCCCCCAAAGGGGCCCCAGAGAGGGAACACGAAACAACATTTCGAGCCCTCGGCCCTAAGGAGCCCCCACGAGGCCCCAAGAGGCCCCTAAGAGGCCCCAAGAGGCCCCCACGAGGCCCTCAGGAGGCCCCCAAGAGTCCCCCAAGCGGCCCCAGGAGGCCCCCCAAATGCCCCCCTGAGCACGCAAGCAAGTGCAAGCGATGCTACAATGTGCTCTCCTTTCGGTAGACTCCCAACGGGGCCCCTACAGACTTGCAACAAGCGTCAAGAACCTGCCCAAAAAGCACTGTCCAGGAGCGTTCACAAGTGCCGCGAAGAAGCCCTCCTTACGCCGGAAAGCCCGGAAAGCCGGGTGGGGTGAGCTGTTCTTCTCACCACCGCGCCCTCTCACACAATGGCTTCCGCACGCCGCCCAGAGCGCGATGCCTCCCAGACTGTATGGGCCGGCGGAATGAGCGAAGCGATCAAATAATGCAACATCTGCTGACGTGATTTTTCGCGACCAGAACCCAGACCCCCGACGTCGTGATTTTTTCACAACTTCGACCCCCAAAGGTCTGGACCCCTTCCCCGGGACCGGTGTTTCATCCTGAGCAGGGGCCAGAATTTGCGAAAAAACTCCGTCGTGATTTTTGTCAATGCGTTGGATCTCTGGGAACGGGTCTGGGCCGCCAGCTCCTCCGCGACCACTTCTGCGCGGAGTTGAGCGCCATGACCGCGAGCTGCCCCGCCTGCATCTCCGCCTGGGCGGGGGGGTGGGTGGGCGGCGCGCGCCGCCCGGCGCGGCCCGCCGGCGGCGGCGCAGGGGGCGGCTGGAGGTGGAGGAGAAGGATCGAGGAGGATCGAGGAGGAGGAGGAGAAAGGAAGGATCAAGGAGGATCGAGAAGGATCGAGAAGGATCGAGAAGATCGAGGAGGAGGAGGAGGAGGAGAAAGATCGAGAAGGATCGAGGAGGATCGAGCAGGAGGAGGAGGAGGAGGAAGATCGAGGAGGAGAAGGAGGAAAATGCATCTGTGTGAGATGCGAATCTCCACGAGGTAAGAGACAGCGCGAGGCATTATGATGAGGGGACCATATATATATACGCACACACACACACACACTAGACCCACGCGGGCGCTTCGCACGCGCTTGGGTGCAAGCCGTACCTGAGGAGCCGCAACTTGCCAGTGAGGAATGCAAGGGCGATTCTGGAGCCCCCTCGGGGTCGATGGTGGGACCTGCCGCACTTATGTCCTGGGATCCCGGCAGCGAACGTATAGGAGGCCCTTTCTCTTTGGCGCTCCAGACGGTGTCGCGAGAGCGCTCCTCCACACCACGAGTGTAGGCATTCGTGCGCGCGGGGATCGGCAGGCAGGCCCCCGCGCGGTCTGCGCAGCGGCAGGCCCGGCGGGAACGGCCGCCCCGGCAGCGCCCAGCGTGTAGCCATTCCTCCTGTCGCGTTTGCTCCCTTCGCGTCTCGGCTCTCATCGGACAAGATCACGGTGCTCGGCGAGACGTGGAAGACAGGAAAGTCAGACGCGCAACCTGCATTGCTGAGCACTCAGAAAGGAAAGCCTCCATCAAGGCACGCTCAAAGTCAGGTGCCAATCCTGAGGAAGCTGTCCGACACATAGCGGCGAATCGAACATGTGCCCTCGCCGTGCGTCCCATGTAAGAATGGGGGCCGCCCCGCAATCATCCCGTTGAACTCAAGACATGGCGAATTATCATCCGGCCAGGCAACCCGTTCGCTACTATACTGCCGCTGACCATTTTGCAGCGAAATAATTCAAGAAACAATGTATGGTTCTCCCACGCACTGTCACGCCGCACTGTTAGGTAACGACGTTGAGACATCCACGAGTGGGAGATGAAGTCATAGGAACCATTTCGATTGGCATCCACGAGTGGGCCTTACCAGATCGGGAGATACACCAGTCGTGTTGGTCAAGATCTGGACATATCGAAAGGGTACTGTATCTCCGCGCCAAGTGTTTTACATAAGCGAGTTCGTTTCTTCCGAGATTTGCGATCGCCACTATCTCGAAACCCTGTCCACACTCGAGAACTACCTTTCACCTCTGCCCAACTCGGCGTGAAATAAAATGAAATGTACGCAAAGCGATAAAAGAATGCAAAACGGTGAAAAAATGGAATCGATGCAATGATAGCGCAATGCAGCACATTGCAATGGAACCGGATGCGAGAACAATGGAACGCGAAGTATTGCAAGTATAAGTGAGCGAAGCAAGTGCGAGGCAACGCGATGAAGTACAGTTCAATGCAGAGTATGAACAACGAGAATGTGAGACACGAAGCGATACACATGCACATTCGACGCAAAACCAACGCAACCCAATGCCTATCGAACCCCAGGATTTCTAGGAACTCAGAGATCCCAAGGACGGGGAACCCGAAGACAGATCCCGGGGGCTGCGGGTCGCAAGAACCGTCGGCTCCCGCTCGCAAACAGAGGCAGGGATGCCGGAGGAGCGGGCACGAGAGGGGAGGAGCGAGAAGCAAGGATACGGGCGGGAGGAGAGACGAGAAGAGACTCGGGCAGGGGCGGTCAGAGGCAGGACGAAAGGAGGAAGGCACAAGAGGCAGGCGGGACCGCACAGCATCCACCAGCCCGTTCTGGCACACGCTTCAAGTGGATCGTGCCCCCCAAGGAGCGCCACCTACGCCCCCAAAACAAACGCAAGATTCACATTGCGTCACCCGGCCAACTACGGGACGCCCCTCACACGGATCTGAAGAAGAAGGCTGAGCTCGAACACGAAGATGGCTGAGCTCGAGGAGAAGCTCGCAAACCTTGGATCGGCATCGCAAGAGAACGCCACAGCGGCGGTTATTGGGGGAAGAATCGAGGTGCACAGATGGAGTAACAGGGGGAGCAAATGTGGGGTCCAGGCGGACTTGCCGCTGAACGTCCGCATCCCTAACTCGATCATTTTTGCTGCGAAGAGCTACCTTGTCAAGACGAGTCCACTCTCCCTGGGCTGATGCTGATACGAACACCTTGAAGCTAGCCGGCGGCCTCGTGAAGGCGAGCATCGAGAACGACGACAGATGTCTGTGCTTCGAGCCAAGCTGGGAGGAGCATTCCCAGGAGACGGAGTGGAAGGACTTGGTGAAGGAGCTCACTCACAAGCTCAGGAGGGGCTTCGGCATGGGAGTGCACCAGGGGCCACCCCGCTCGCCTACATGTTTCACCACCTGTCCTGCACAGAATTCACATGCAGTTTTCAAGGTTTCGTGCACGAGTGCAAGAAGAACCAATTCTGCGACAAGATTGTTGAATTTGCTTGCCGAATTGAAAAAGATCATCAGGGGCATCGTTGGCTTCAGTGAGACACGGGCTGCTGATGGCGATGATATTTTGGCCGGGGGAACACTGTTGTATTTGGAACGCAGACGCGCAAGTGAGACACTTGGGTACATCTATCCTTCTTCATTCGCGCCTTGCTGACAAAGTCACTCACATCAAGACATTGTCTGGCAGACATCTGTTGGTGGACATTGACCACAATGGGAAATGTCTCTCGGTGATCTGTGTTTATGCTCCACACGTTTGGTATCCGAGGGCTGGTATGGACAGTTTCTGCGCTGGACTGCGAACGTTGATCGCGGTACGGACTCGGCAAAAACGGAACGTCTTGTCGATTGGGGATCTTACTGTTATGCTGCATTGTGGCGTTCGTATCGCAAAGCGACATTCACGCAGCAAGTGGTAACGATGCGGATGGGGAGCTACAGGTAAGTAGACATTCAAGAACACCTTGGGGCATAAGCGGATGATCGATTACAGATTGTCACTCTTCGCGGAGTTTGTCTGGATCGGCAGGCACGAACTCGACTGTGCAGCTGGCCATCGAGCCGTTTGCGCATCCTTCCTTGTGCCCCCTGCAGCCGTCAGCACACTGAAAAACGGGTCGCCGACGAAACGAGCGGGCTCGCCGATCCACGAGAGGGAGTTGGAAGCTAAGTTGTTAGGAGGCAACTACTGGGAGGTTTTTCGTCGGAAAGATTGAAGAAGATTGAGCCCCATTTGGGAGCTATTACGCCGGAGTGGGCCTCGGATTAAGCAGCATTAAGCCGCATTAAGCGGGATCAAGTGGGACTAAGCGGGATTGGGCCGGATTAGGCTGGACTTCGGACCAGTGCAGAATCAGGATTCGACCTCCCAGGCGTTTCATCTCAAAAGTTGGGCGAGGTTCAACATTGTACCTTGGCACGAGCTGCAGGGCACTGTGAGATCGGCCGCTCGCGCGTCGGGCGCGACCGGAGCCCAACGTCAAGACCGCAAGTGGGGCACAGCAGAGCCCAAGGACTCGAGGCAACGACGGGACTGTGGTGGGAATCGTGCGGGGCGTGCTGCGCTGTCGAAGGAGATCGTCGAGAAGACGAGGAATGCTTTGCGGCGCTGGCGGGACTGGAAGAGCAGCTTGCGCAATTTCGGAACCTGCACGGGCTTCCAAAACTGGCTGCTGAACGCATGCAGCGCAAGAAATCGGCCAAGCCGAAGCCCAAAGAATTCGCATCGATGCTACGAGAACCAAACACAAAAAACGGATCCGCAAAACACGTTCGTTTCAAAACAAGCATAAACAGATTTTGGCTGTGGGCCATCTGTGGGCGCCCTCTTGGGAAAGCTCTGGGAGGGGTCTTCAAACGTCTTGGACGCCTCAAGGGCCGCTCGAGACGCCTCGTGAGCCGTCGGACACCCCTGGAGGCCGTCTTGAGGGTAGTTCGCGATTGTCTTGGGGCGCCGCGACGCCCGTCGGACCGCTCTACCACCCCATAGCATCCTTCTTGGCCTTCGGAAGCGCACCATGCCGCACATGGTGTTCAGCCATCAGAAAGAAGCATCAGCCTCAGCGATACATTCAGCCACATATCCCTTAGCAAGCGTGGACCGCGAGGTGCAACTAGCACGCGCCAACTGCAGCGGTTCACTCTTCCTGCGCTCGCGCCACTTCTCTGTAGGCACTGGCCTGCTAAAGAGAGTCCGCCTCCAGCGGGCGCAGGCTGGAGCTGGGCGGCCGCCGCTCGGCAAAAGGTGGCGAAAAAAGATTGGGACTGCTGCGCGAAAGCATGGCGGGCACGCTTGCCCGCGCGGGACTCAGTTGCCTTCTGCACCGGGTTGCTGTGCCGCTCGGAGCCCTGGGCGTCGAGCACCGACTCAGCAACGCGCTTTCTAAGACCGCGCAACTCAGCAAGGTCACCCGCATCACCCACGTCGGTGACCTCATTGCTGTTGTCCTCCATCTGAACACCACGCCCATTGGCTTGGGCCTTGGCCCACGCCAGCATGGCCTTCCGCTGCGCGGCACCAGTGGAAGACTTACCTTCGGAACGCGCGGGGTCGGGCTCCTCGAGGGCGCGCAGGTTGGCCTCGGCCCCGGCGAGATCCACCGTACCCGCAGGCGCGAGACCAGGAACTGGAGGGCGAGGCACGTGAGTGGGAGCTGGAGCGGCGCCAGCAGGAGCAGCACCGTGCACTTGATCGCGCGCATGGCCAGGATGAGGACCAGGCTGGGCAGGTCCAGGCTGAGCAGGCGCCGCACCTGCTTGAGCCCTCTCTGCCGCCGCCCGCGCTGCAGCCGCCGCAGCTGCAGCCGCCTCTGCATCAGCGCGCTCTTGTTCACGCAGCTCAGCACGGAACTGGTCCTCGTCGAAGTTGTCCTTGGCCGCCGTTGCCGCGCGCAAAGCAGCCTCCGCCTCCGCATGCCGCCGCTGAGACTCGATATGGTTCTCCCCCGCCTTCGCGAGCGCCTCGCGGTGTCGGGCGAGAGCTCCATGCTTCTGTTGTAAAGCTGCGGGTGGCCCATTCCTTACGGCTCGACTGCCCCGCCTCGCGAGTCAGCTCAGTGCGCCTCGCCAGGGCGCGCTTCTCGATGGAGTTCTCCGACGCCGGCTCACGAGCGACAGGAACGGGCGGCGGCGGGGCTGGGTGGATCTGGCCAGGGGCGCCCGCCACGTGAGCTCGGCAGCGAAGGGATCCGCATCGCCATGACCAGGGGCGCCAGGAGCTGCACCGCCAGGCGGAGCACCGCCAGGAGGAAGGCACAGTCGGGCCGCTGAAAGAAGGAACGCTAAATCCGCCGATCCGGCGTGTGAGTTTCAAGGAGTCTCAGCTACAGCCTCGAGGCTGAGCCTCAGCCTCTGGGGGGGTTGCCGGGGTGGCTCTGCCGGGGAAGGGGGGATGGGGGGGGGGGCGAGTTTCCGGCGGATGCGGGGCGCTGCTTTTACAGAAGGCTCTAATCTCGAGGATGCGCTGGAAGGGTGGCCGCGGCCGCAAAAGTCTCTGAGGACGGTCTACGAAAGTCCCGAGACCCCGAAGGATCGCCCGAACACACCCAAGATGGCCCCAAGACGGCCCAAGAGCCTTCCACGACGTCTGAAGAGGCCTCCAAGAGGCCTCCCACGATGGCCCCCAGAGGCAAAAATCGTTGATTCCCATTGTTTTTTTTCAATGTTTTTGGGGTTGTCGCTTTTTTCTGCTTTCCGACGCTCCAAGACGGCCCAAGAGGCCCCCAAGACCGCTCGAAGACGGCCCAGGAGGCCCCCAGACAGTCCCAAGACGGCCCAAGAGGGCCCCAAGGCGGCCCAAGAGCCGCCCACGACGGCCCAACAGGCCCCCAAGACGGCCCCAAGAGGACCCAAAAGAGGGACGAAAAGCGGAAAAAAATCTACCCTTCCAGCCCACGAGGCCCCCAGGAGGCCCCAAGAGCCTCCAAGAGGGCCTCCGAAAGCCCCCAAGAAGCCCCCACGACGCCCTGACAGGCTCCTAAGATGGCTCAAAAAACGCCCCAAGAGGGCGTCCTTGCGCCGATAGGCTCGCCTCCACCGCTCGCACCACATCGTCCAGGCCACATGTTTCGTAACACGACTCCGTGCACGACGTATCGTGAGTTTCCAAAGTGATCGGCATCCTGTATGGAACTTTCATGCCATTATTATTTCCCGTCCCCACGGTCACTGCAAGCACCCCGCCGTTGATAGAACCACTGCTGCGAGATGGCTCTATTGACCCAACTGCATTCCTACGCCCTTTCGAAGGTAACCCGAGAAGTTTGTGCGTTTGAGTGTGCGCCCATAATGTCTGCGTCTGGAGAATAACACCGAGCGACCCGGATCGGCGGCACTGGCCGAAGGCCACTACAATAAGGAACGAAGCCCCTTCTTGGCCCTGTAAGCGCCTCCGTGCCCCAGGAGGGCGAGAGGAACAACACTGGAGGAACCTAAGGAACACCGAGCCCCTTCCGAACCCAAACTGTTCCTTCTGTCAGCGTCTTGACTCTACTCGCCCCCGCACTTGCTGCACACGCAGCTGCCGAAGCGGTCGAACCCCCAGCGGCCGCAAGACCCGCAGGGCGAGTAGGTGGCGCGGCGACGGGCCCTGCCGCCCCGGCGCGGCTGCTGGTGCCACTCGCCCGCGCCGCGCCGCCTCGCCGCCTGCGCCCACGGGGCACGCGACCGCCATGCCACGAGGACTGACTGAACGAAATGCTCTAGCAGGAGCTCACAAACGCAGGTCGAGACCACGGCCCAGCGCGCAGCCTGGACGTGGTGCCACCAAAGCTCGGACAGACGCCACGGATGCACACAAGGCTGATCGTGATTCGGCAGGCCACTTTATCATCACACGTTTAGCCTTGAGCCAAAATGGCAACGGGAGGAGGAGAAGGAGGATCGAAGAGGAGGATGAGGAGGAGGAGGATCGAGCAGGAGGATGAGGATGAGGATGAGGATGAGGATGAGGATGAGGAGGAGGATCGAGCAGGAGGATGCGGAGGATGAGGAGGAGGAGGAGGACTAGCAGGAGCGAGAAGGAGAAGGAGCATCGAAGAGGAGGAGAAGGAGGAGGAGGAGGAGGAGGAGGAGGAGGAAGCAGAAGTGGAGGGAGGCTGGGCCGCGGCCCGGCCGCCCAGGGTCCGCCGGGGCGGCCCGTCAGCGGCGGGGCAGGGGCGACGGGAGGCGGACGACGAGCCCCGACATCCCCTCCAGACCCCATCGGGACGTGACAAAATAATGACGGGAGGTTTTTCGTTATTTTCGGCCCATGGGGGCCTTTACTGGTCCTCGGAGCCGTCAAAAAATTACTTGGGATGAAAAGCCACACCTTTCGGCCACGGCTTTCAGCAGCAGGCGTCCAGACACTTGCCATGAGGTGTGAAGGTGCCCCGTGATGGGCCAGACAACTTCCGTGGCGCTGGCGATGCGATGCGATGAAAAGCCCGTCCCGGAGAAGTCCCGACCGAGGGGGGTCCAAGTCATGAAAAAAACACGGGTCGGGGGCCTGGGGCTGGCGGTGAGAAAGACGGCGGATCGTTTCTGCTCGATTTCGGTCCCTGGGGGCCCTCGCCGGGCCCTGGGGCCGTCAGAGAACGACCCACCTTGCTCTTCCAATCGGAGCTCAGTCGGCGCGCCGAACGGGACCGAGCGAGCGCAAACAAGCATCTTCGCTTGGCACTTCCTCGAAACCCACGAAAGAAACGTCCGGTCCCGTTCGGCGCTGAATGCGCCCTCTCCGCCTGGGCCCATTCGGCTGGATCTGGCTGCATTCGCGGTGCGAAAGTTTTTTGCTGCAAGAGCGATGCCTGGCGGTCCCCGCCCCAGCTCGCCACATGTGAGTCGGATGGGCGGGCACTCCACCTCGGGGTGCCATCCCGCCCCTTCCTGATCAGTCCATGAGGCGCTCCCAGAAAGCTGCGCACTCCTCCTGTACAAGGGAGCGCGGCTCTGCCTCCAGGGAGACCTTCACTGCGTAAGGATTTTTGCCTCGGCGCAGGAGCGAGAGGCGGTGCCCTGCGGTGGGGTTCGCAGGGGCCCCCACGCAGGCAGCCAAGAGCTTGCACCCCCTCTCGCTCGAGAACACACCGCACCGATCGCAGAATGTATACTGGCCCACGCGGTGCAATTCGTGCCCCAAGGCCGCACCGCGGAGGGCGGGAGAAATGACGCCTTCCCCATCCCCCCGCCCCAGCTCAACACCCCACCGACGATCCACCCTCATCTTGCCCTGGCAGGGCCTGCGCGCCAACGCGCGCCTGGTCTTGCTGGAGAAGGCCTTTCGCCCGCACGTCGAGCAACGCCACGCCCCCCTCCTCCAGAGGAGGACGTGGGCGCGGGCCCCCTCGGGCGGCCCTTGCCGCCGTCGGCGGGCTCCGCTGGAGCCCGCGGCAGGCCTCCCCGTGGAATCCCCGAAGTCCGCCGTAAGCCCCGTCACCCCCGCCACCAGAGTCAACACCGCCTGGACCTCCGCAGAGCGGGTGGTCCAGGTCTGGGCCTTCCACGGGGGAACCTCCTGCATGTCGGCCCCAAGGCGGGCCTCACAGTCTGCCAACTGATTCCCTTGAAAATCGAGAAAGCTCTCGTGCGAGTCATCCTTTGGCCCGCTAGCATGGGCTTTTACCTTGACGGCCTGGAAATCACCTTCCTGGCTGAAGCTGTCCTGGATCTGGGCCCAGATTCTGCCCCAGAGGTCGGCGTGTGGCCTCCTAGGGCTGCAGCACCAGCTGGGACCTCTACGGAGGCCTCGAATGACTGAACTGTTGTCTACCCCTACCCTCAGAGGCGGGTGAGCGCTATTCAGCAGCTTGCGCAGTCCATACAGCTCAGCACGCAGGACGGAGGCTAGGCTACGCAGCCCTGGGAGGGTCCCCCGCATGGCCCTAACAGCCCCCCCGTCCTGGTCCAGGAAAACGTAGCCCCAACCGAAACTCTTGAGCCCTGGTGGGCCTCTGGCCGATCCGTCGGAGTAGGCCCACCCTGAGACCAGCGGGGGATTAACAAAATCGGGGTTTTCCTCCTCCAGGGCAGAAATCCAATCAGACTGCGGGTCCTCCAGGGGGTGCTCGTGAAGCCCACGGGAGAAAAGGAGGGAGTCCGAGGTGGAGGATTCAGCACGATGCACGATCCCTTGGAGGCCCTCATCCTCGGCTACGGTGGCTCTCGCTGCTCCTCTATCTGGGCAACAAAGGAAACGATGGTGCTGGCATCCGACTTCAGCGCCGCAGGCTTGACAGGACCTGTCGTCCCCGAAACCCGCTCGACAGACCTTGTCCTGGGTCCAGAAGTCGCGGCCCATGTAGGCCAGGATAGCCGATCGCCTCTGCGGCGATCGGTTAGCCTTCCGTCGAAGGAGAGCCCTAATAGGCTCAAGGAAGGGACGGGTGACCCCGAGGTCCCTGGAAGCCGCCCAGGAGGTCATCACCGCAAATTCCAAACGGGACCAGATCAGCTTCTTAAGACACTGCGGTGCTGTCCTGCGCAACTCCCACTGCTGCCCGAGATGGTCGGAGAAAACATGATGGGCAGGCCACGTCCACGAGAGGAGTCTGAGTGTGGCCCAGACGGCTGAAGCGGGTCCTTTTATCTGCCTCCAGGGGTTGCTCCCAGGCTTGGCGGCAGCGGCCGCCGCGACAGCTCTGCGCCACCCCGCAGCCATGATCTCCTCATGGCTGCCAGCAAAGATCGCCTCCGCCCATTTGAGCAGTGGCTTCGTGCAGGCATCGACCAGGGGGTCGCAGCGCAGCGTCCACAGGCGGAGCAGTCGGTCCTTACCGATTGCGTTCCCGCCCAGCGCCGAGGCCATGAGTGCCCTTGCTCGGGTGAGCCGAGTCGGGTCCATTCCGAGGCAGACCGCCCCATACAGCACAGAAGGGAGAAATCCCATGCGCGCGACTTGAAAGGTGCGCGCGCCCTGCTTGCCGAGACTCGATAACTTACTTCTACGCCGCCTAGCGCTCCCCATCCTGGCATCGGCTCTGGTGCGCAGCGACACAACTCCTCCTCCCGCCGAGTCGATTCCGAGCTGCGTGCTGCTGGTCTGGACCTCCAGTCGCGGTGCGAAAGAGGAAGAGGAGGAGGAGGAGCGGCAAGCGCTGGGACGACACTTCGGTCGTCGCATGCGGCCCGGGTCGCGGCAGATCGCGGCGCTGCGAGAGGGGTCCGCAGAGAGTCCGGAGGCAGTTGCGAGGGAGAGGACGACGAGGGGGAGTAAGCAGGTCGCGCTTCCCCCCGCCGCCAGCGCTCAAGCGTAGCGCAGGATGAGGTGCGAGCCGCTGTCGGAATCGACGATGCCGCTGAGCCCCCCGCCTGAGAGGGCGTACGTGCCGTCTTCGAACTGCTTCTGCATGTCGCCCTTCCCAAACTCGCCCAGGTCGCCGCCTGATTTGAAGGAGGCGCATCGGAGTGCGCCTTGGCCAGCTTCTTGAACTCTTGTTGGAGGGCTTGTCATGACAAGCCGTTCAACTGTCCGAGGAGCTTGTTGAGCTCCTCGTGCGCCTTGTCCTTCGACTTCCCGCTCGTGCTCTTGCACGTTCGCCGAGACACCGGGTTGCGCGAGCCTTCGTGCTTGATCAGCAGGTGGTAGGCTCTCACCTTGGACATGGCTTCCCGACCTCAAGCAGGCAGGAACCACTACTCTGCCGCCTTGAGCCAAGCTTGAGCGAAAATGGCTACGGAGGAGGAGGAGGGAGAGGAGAGGAGGAGGAGGAGGAGGAGGAGGAGGAGGAGGAGGAGGAGGAGGAGGGCGTCCGAGAAGGGGGGTCGCAGGTCGCGGCCCGAGGCACGTGCGCGGAGGGGTGGGGGGCCAAGGGACGTACGTATTGAAAGAAGAAGAGGGGGGCCATGACATCCAGAGGGAGATCACTCGCCATCACTCGGACGTCCATTCCCTTTGTTTTTTTCGGTTTCGTGCGTGGTTTTTTCGCCAAATGATCAAGGATGCTCCTCGATGGTCCTCGCCGAAAAAAAACGCACACGTCCGAGCGATGCCGAGATCATGGCCCCAGCCATGAAAGCCACCCCACCCCTTCTTGGCAGCCCCCCCAAAAACACCACGGCGGACAAATTCTGTCCATGTTCGGCCTCTGGGGGCCTTCTCTGATCAGGGCCCTAGGGCCGTTAGAAAACGACTCAGGAGGCAAAGCGGGCCCAAGGAAGGGGTCCAGACCTCTGGGGAGCCACGTTGTGAAACTTCACGGCGGCACATTTTTGTGCATCTTCCACCTCTGGGAGCCCTCGCCGAGCCCCGACTGTGAGAGAATGACTCGGAGTGAAAAAGCTGGCCCCAAGAAAGATGGTCCAGACCTCTGGGAGCCACCCTCGGAGAAGGCAAAAAAACGGAAACTCTGGGAGGTTCGCATTCGAGGTCGCTTCTCCACGCGCATGATGCCTCACACGTTCCAAGACTAGGCTTAGGTCGGGCTTGCCCCCCTACAGGGGGACTTTTGGGCGAAAAATGAAAAATACTCAAACCATACTACCAAACTGATCAAACATAGTCACAAAAATCGTCCCCAGCCTATCTTTTGACTATGTTTGAATATCCCCCCTGCAGCAGGGCTGAACCTAAACGGTGCTTTTCGTTTTC